TTTAAAGCCGGTCCTACAAGCGCATCCAAGAATAACATGCAGCTTATCTCAGAATTGTTGGTGAAAATTATTCTTGGAGCTACGTTTAATTGAGCTGCATTTTATAGAGGTGCAATTTCACAATTTGTGTATATTTTCTAAGTTCACTATTTCGTCATGCGCTGAGAAAAACAGAGATTTAAAAATCACATGGTCTAATATTTACATTTAGCATATAACTGCAACTTTTTTTTTTTTTTTTAAAGACTCAAAAGGACTTGAAATTCAAAGTTGTGACTTTACTCGGACTTTTAAACCAGTGACTTGAGACTTGACTCGGACTTGCCTGACATTACTTGAGACTTGACTTGTGAATTGAGGATAAAGACTTGAGACTTACTTGAGACTTGCAAAACAATGACTTGGTCCCACCTCTGCTATGAAGTGTCTTGATGCATGCTCAATCATCCAGGTAAGTAAATCTTTAAAAGTTGATTCTGTTCATCTGGACGTAGCTTTTTCATTCGGAGAAAATGAAAATGCTAGAAAATGCTACGTCCAGATGAACAGTATAAGTGTGTGTGTTCATTTAAAGGTATCTAAAGAGCAGCGACTCCCAAACTGTACGCTACGGCTCCCTGGTGGGGCATTAAGGTACTTCAGGTGAGACTTGGGAAGTCATTTAAAATTTAAAAAAAAAAAAGAATAAAAGAACTAAAATAGTTATTTCTTGTAATTTATTTGTAATGCTATCTAAAATGTTAAGGACAATACAATATAATTATTTCATATTTCATAATTCCATTTTTGATCTATTTCAACCTTTTTGAGATACTTTGATGCCTTCAAATTTATTTCTTTTTTTGTCATTTTCTCAGTTTACACATTTGATATGTTTTCTATATTGAATAAAACGTGTGTTTATAAGATTTCAAATGATTACATTTAGTTTTTATGAAACTTTTTAACAGCATCCCAACACATGCTCTAATTGGGGTTATAGTAGAATTTCCATTAAATATGTACATTTTAGACAAATCCAATTAATCCAATGAATTACAACTATATATAAATGGAGGCATGGCTGTCAGGTGGCAGAAGTAATGAAAATGAAACAATGAAAATAAACAGGAAATGCTTCATTTTCTGTTTGTGTGATCAGCACAGATAAGACTGAAAGTTTAGGGGCGCTGCAGATTTTCACATTACAGCTTGAGTTAGAGCAGTCTGTTTAGGAATGGCTTATAAAGAGTGTTTAAGCAGAACTTACTTGGCGTTTTCGATGTATGTGGTGGCCTTGAGGAAGTCTCCCTGTTGTTTATACAGCAGACCCAACTCATAAAGGGTGAAAGGAATCAAGTAGTGATCATATCTGATCCGACCCTCACTGAAAGTAAAGCCCATTAAAGTATTATCTTTATTTTCAGAAGGTAAACCACAGCATTAAGTGCCTACACAAGGTCGTCGGTATGCTTTTGTGTTCTTATCTGTGCTTGTGTTACCTGGAGAGCACCTGTGTGAAGCACAGCTCAGCCTGCAGTAACCTGCCCAGGTGCTTCAGGCAGAGTCCCTTCAACATCTGGACCAGACAGCTGTCATCTGTGTGAAACTCTGACGGATCTGAATGAGAGATGGACTGTTAGACATAGATTTACATAAGCTCCTAACCTTTCATTAGCCATGTGCTAATATTCAGCAGTAATAACCTTACATGACAACCTAACGCCTTCGGAGATAAAAGGATTCAGAATGGAGACTTAAACATACTTAGCTCCTGGAATACACCAGCTGGTTTTTTTGGCTGTATGTTTTAGGTCATTGTCCATCTGCATTATGAAACGCCGCCCAATCAATGTGACTACATTTAGCTGAATTTGTGCAGACAGTATGTTTCTTAACACCTCATATTCCTTCAGCTGCTTCTGTCCTGTGTCACATCATCATTAAACACTAGTGTCCCAGTGCCACCTGTAGCCATGCACGCCCAAGACATCACACTGTGTCCGCTGTGTTTTACAGATGATGTGGTATGCTTTGGATCATGACCTGTTCCACTCCTTCTTCATAGTATTGTTCTCACCATCATTCTGGTAGAGGTTGGTTTTGGTTTCATCTGTCCAAAACATGTTTTTCCAGAACTGTGCTGTTTTTTTTTTTAGAAATGTTTTAGCAAAATTCAATCTAGCCAATCTATTCTTGAGGCTTATAAGTGGCTTGAACCTTGCAGTGAACCCTCTGTATTTACTTTCATGCAGTCTTCTCTTCATGGTAGATTTGGATATCAACTCCTGGAGAATGTTGACGTGTTTGGCTGTTGTGAAGGGGTTTCTCTTTAGCATGGAAACAATTCTGTGATCATCCACCACTGTTGTCTTCCGCGGATGTCCAGGTCTTTTTGCATTGCTGAGTTCACCTTTCTTTCTCAGGATGTACCAGACTGTAGATTTTGCCACTCCTAATATTGTAAAAATTTCTCAGATGGGTTGTTTCTGTTTTTGCAGATTAAGGGCGGCTTGTTTCACCTACATGGAGGGCTCCTTTGACCAAATGCAAGCACCACACCTCAAATCAACTCCAGGCTTTTTATCTGCTCAACGGATAATGACATAGTGAAGGAACTGCCCACACCTCATAAACCCTTCATTCAATTTGAATGTGGACAGCAGAGAGTTTACACATTGTTTGTATATAACTATATTTAGAATATGTTTCAGTAAACAGGTAAAAAAAATATCCAAGTATAAATGGGCCTAACTGTAATAATGAGCTCACTGTATGGGTTACTGGCCTCCACAGTAACCAGCTCTCTCACAGATCTCTTCAATAGAGCACCTTTGAGATGTAGTCGAACAGCAGTTTCAAATCATGGATGTGAAGCTAACAAATCTGTCAAACTGTGTGAAGCTATCATGTCAACATGGTCCGAATTTTCTGAAGACTCTTTCAAACCCCTTGTTCAATCATTAACACAAAGAATTAAGGAAGTTCTCAAAGCAAAAAAGGCTCCAACAAAATGTGTCAAATGAGTGTAAAATACTCCAAGCTTTATCGAAGACTTAAATGTAATTAGATTCTTAACAAAACAGCTGTGGTAACATCTTATAGCCGACCCCATGTGCACAGTTTTGTGATGTCTCAGGAGTTTTAATCAGTGTAGATGCATAAATATTAATATCAGCTGCTTACATGCAGACTTGAAATCACTAACATGAGCGAAATAGAAGCAGGCCCAGGACAGAACCCTGTGGAACGCCTGTTTTACTCTCATAAGATACTATTGGCAGCACACAGTGTTAGCAGTAGTGCTAATAGCAGAGGCGCAGTGTTGAGCTCACTGGGGTCATTGCGAAGCTGCTCCTCTGCCTTCTCTATGGTTACCAGCAGGGACTCGGTACAGTCGGCTCGCTTTCCGACGATGGTGAAACCATTCCACACGTACATCATCTCCTAAAAGAGATAACAATTGTGCGTTATACTTCACTACCAGCTCGTTCAGAGTTTATCACACTCAACTAACCACTGTCAAAGTAGTGAGTTTATTATGTGCATGTGAATGTTTGTGTACCAGCAAAGGGATGACCAGGGGGATGGGGTTAGCAGCTTTGTAACGCCTGGACTTCCTCACTGCAAATTTCTCCGTTGGAATGGACTTCCCAGCCAGGCGCTGTTTCAGCCCCTCCACCTGCCTACACACACACACACACACACACTGCTAATCCTGGCCTTAAACATAGCTCGGCTCTACCTTCTTCACATAGGTCGATTCAGCTCAGGGTGTTTAAAAAATACATGTAAAAAACCGGCTGACCTGAAGAGCTCCACAACATTCTCCCCCGTCTTCTTCAGCTCCTCCTCTGACATCATGCTTAAAATGGCTGCCTTCTGGTAAACATAGATAGCCTGCAGAGAGTAGGTTTTATATTGAACTATCACAGACTTTTATGGTTCCATTTATGTGCCTGATATATGAAGCACATCTGTTTTTCTTCTAAGCTTACCTTGGACCAGCGACTCTCCTTGCACAGCAAGTCAGCATATTGGTACGCCTGTTCCCACTCCTGCTGGTACGAGTGAGTCCACATGAGCTCCCAGTAACACAAGTGGTGAATCTGCTTCCACTCCTGCTGGCTGCTCACACACTCCTCGTACTTGGCCCGAGCCTAAAAGAAACACAGAACACTTAGAGCTGCTGTTCAGGTTTGTAAAGGAAGTGCATGGATGGTAAAAACCCGTGAAAAGGGAAAGACTTCTATTACTAAATTAAAACGATCATTTTAATTCCACATATAGTAGAACAGAGAACAATTTTACTTCTTTGTTTAGCTGATAAATGTGCTGAAATCCTTGCGCTGAAACGTCTAGTTTTCATTTGGGACTTTGGCACTGAGGGTCTGAAAACACAGGGACAAACCTTCTCAAAGTTTCCTCGCAGCGCGGCAATGCGAGCAGAGTAGAAGAGGATTATGGAGCCCTGAAAGAAAAAACAAACATGATGTTTATTTAGTCACGGCCTAGTTTACTTAGACGACTGTTTGCGGTTTACTTACTTTGGGGTATTTCTGTTGGTATGGCTCCAGCAGAGCTTCAGCTTCCACCAGGTTCCCCTCTGCAGTTCCTGATCAAAGAGAACACAACAACAGTCATTGCTTAATCTGCTAAGCAGCAGTAGATGCTTCTGGCTTTATTTAGGCCTTTGTGGTCGGACATTTGAAGCCAGATTAAGATGGTGAAGCTGAGGTTTCTCTACCAAGACTGAACCCCGCCCCCAAAAAAACATTAAAGTGTTTCCTACCCAGTATGAGTGAGACGTATGTGTGGTAGAAGAGCAGAGTCAGAACACAGAGGATTGACCGCAAACTGTGGCTGGAAGCTCCCTCTCTCAGCTGGGACAAACCAAACCCCTGCAGACAGATAGAGACAGTATGATTTTGTCTGTGTAGCCTATAGTGGGTTTTTTAAATGTTATTTTAAACAGTTTGTACTCACCCTGTTTCCTGAGAACCCGATAAACTCCAACAACCTCAAAATTCTCTGAGGGAGGAGAGACAACATCTGGAAGACAAAAAGATTTCCCTAAAACCAATCATTCAATAAAATCAATAAAGAAATTGTGCTTTCAATGAACCATTATGTGCCAGATTCAATATAACCTGTGGATTGATGTAAAAAAAAAAAAGGATGTTGGGCCAGCGATGGTGCGTCCAACGATCAGTTCAGCTGTGAAACAAACGGGCTGAAATGGACTCTCGTTAATCTTAAGAGCTTAAAAGAAGGTGTTTAACTGAAAAGTGACAATTCTGACTCGATTAATGAAAAAATAAGTGTAAGGACACATGAAGTATATGAAGCCATTCATAGGTTCATAGGACTCTCACTAATATTTTTCTTTTATCTTTAACTTTCACATTAAAATGCCAACCAATGTGCTTCATCAGTTGCACTGTGTGGACGTTTTAGCTGCTTCCATCCAACTAATAAAGAAAATTTGTAGATTTATTGTAGATTATATTAAAGTAATAATATAGAAATATAGATATACAATACAGAAAGCATTTACATTGGCCTTTTTTTGG